CAATGATCTGAATGACGTCAATGCATCAACGGGTGGATGGCTGAAGGAAAACAAACATGGCTGTGCGGGGGCTTTAGCTGGAATACTCTTTTTTCTTTTTTTAAATGAGCAAAGAGAAACGATTTGTGTTTTTTGTGGATAGGAAAGATGTTTGCGTGTTACCCTGAACAGGATTTGATAAGAGTTTGATTTATCAATTAATTCCACTAGTTGTGAAACAAGTCAAGGTTGTGATACATCAGAGCTGCTACTGCTGCTGTGATTGGCTAGAGGCCCGACATGGAAGGCATGTACGACTTAATTTAGTCAATCAGCTAGAAGAATTGTACTGCATATCTCTCCATTTTGCGAATACATTCTAAAAGAGGCTTACTAGACGGATACCGTGCAGAATTCAAACTGAACTACTCGTATCAATCTGGCTTAAGCCAGGCTGTGTTTAGTGCTCAGTTTGCGCAAATTACTGTATGAGTTTGGGTTTTAAACAATCATCCTGTGGTTCTGCTGAGATGTTCTGGATGCCCTGGTTGCTTTGATAGAGTTGGACTTCATGTCATCTGCATTACTGCTTATGGTGTGCAAAGTTTACTGGTCTATCCAGCACAGCAAACCGCTTCTGGTACCTTTAGGGTGTGGGCAGGAACCGAGTCCTGCTGGAAACTGAAATAATCATCTTCATAGAGCTTGTCGGCAGAATGAAGCATGAATTTCCCTAAAATCTCCTGTTAAATGGCTTTGTTGATCGACACCAGCAGATGACACTGCACCTCAAATCAGCTTCACATTGAATCTCCAGCAAAGGCTTCAGGACCTCCTCCGTTTCCATCCTGATTATGGATCTGTGATTTCTATTTAAAATACGAACTTTACTCTCATCTGAAAATAAAACAGTGGATGACTGAGCAACAGTTGACACATTTGTTGTCCATGCAGCTCATCTGTGCTGGTGGCTCAGGATGACTTCAACCTCAGCCCACTTCTTGTCAGATTCATCACATCTTTGAATTAATTTTGCTTAATAAGGCTGTACTTATCCGAGTTTCTGGTATACCCTTTCCTTCTGTATTGTTTGATGACTTCTTAAAGAATGACCTTTAGTGACCCCCTCTCGGTTGACGGTGCAAGGACTGTTTTCTTTACACCTGTCAAGTCAGCAGTCTTACTTACTATTGCATTGCCTACAGACAGAGACTGAGGCTCAGTAAGTATTTGCTGGTGTTTGAGTCAGTTAGACGCTAATTAGCGTATGATACCATGAGTTTCCTCATATCTAACTTTTCACAAAACTCTGTTTTGTGAATAGCAATTAGCTTGGTTTATTGGTGCAAATTACAGCTGCTTTTTGGGCATGTAATTAAATCTTTCTTACATTTTTTTTCCTGTTTTTTTTTTTACAAAACCAAAAAGCATTTCTGATAGCTTTAGTTTGCAGTTATGCATTATGTGCTGCATGTATATTTTTCTTAAAACTCAATAATTGCTTTGTGCATTTCTGCATATAGAACAAAAAACCACAAGTCCTGACACAGCTTCTTTTTCCTTGGAACCTCTACCGGAGGACACTTGAGCCCCCATGAGAGAAGCAGGTCTTCATCTATCATCTCAGGAGCTGTTTTTGGGGGGTTGCGGAGATGCAGCGCCCAATCGGAGCTTCTCACGGATGCAATGTGGGAACACTGCAGAAATCTGCTGGCTAAAAATAGTGCTCTCTGTGTGCTATGTTTTTCTTCCCCTTTCCTTGAAGTCCTCATGAGGATGAAATGCATATTTAAAATGTCAACAAGAGAGGATCTATTCCGCTTCCTTAATGGAGTTAAGAGTGCTGGTAAGGTCTGGATTAAAGTTCAGAAAAATGTCTTGTTTGCAGAAAACGTAATGACAATTAAATAAAATGCATTTAGCTGAGAACTCATCTATTAATTAGCTGCTTACACTGCTTGAGACATATGCAAGCAAATATATATTCTGTCAGTGAAAACTAAACCCTCTGTGGGCGAAACAAACCTGAGTTAGTGTTACCGACGCCATAAATACAGCAATTTCATCCATGACAAGAAAAAGTATGGCAACCATGGATTATCCTGCATCATCAAATTCAGTCGCAGGCAGAAATTTCACAGCTGGCAGGTCCTTCAAAGTGTGTTGTCAAAATTCCTCTGCAGAGGTGCAAAGAAATAAAGACAGAGCTCTAGAAACGGAGCAGTATGAGCCAAGAAAACTTTACATGCAGAAATAAGAATGAAATGTCCAGCCGTGTCGTTAGATGAAGTAGAGATTTGAAAGCAGGCAGCAGGTACTCCTGGCTGATGAGAAAAGATATTACAATATTTGAATCTGATAGAGGTCAAAGGAGCTGTGAAAAAAAATGATGGGGAAGGAGGTGACAATTTCACAGAGATGTGTTTCTGGTTTTCTACAAAAAGAACAGGCTCCGTGGTTCTCCAAATATCAGAAGACAGACAGTCAGATACTTGCCTTTAAGTCGCATCTGATTGGTCATCATTCTTCAGTGGAATGAGACCCAAATGTAAAGTCGGAGTGATAAAAAGCTATTTTCTGACATAAAGAACAAGGAGTTGTAAAGCAGGACCGCAGGGCCCTGATCTCAAGATAATGGAGTCAGCCTGACATTAAACAAAGAGGCAGAAAAACTAAAACTGAGCTGATTTATGCTGTCTTAATGCAAGCAACTTTTTACATTCAGCATTTGTTTTTTATGGAAGCGGAGAGCGGCCGTATTGGATTTTTTTTTTACTTTGTCTTCTCGAAATAACGACATAACTATCTCGTTATCACGGTTAAATCATTCATTTTTTCTCGAGATCAGAGATAATTATCTCGTTATCACTATAAAACAGTTATTAATGTATTGACATAACTAACCTGGATTCCCGGTCCATCCATGCCTGGATGGCGTGTAGTTGTGCAGCCGCAGTACCGTGTGTGCGCAGAAAATCTATTATTTAGTTTCCTTTTTCCTTTCACTCATTGTGAGGTTTTGGTGAATGATTGTATTGCATGGAATACAGTAGAAACAAATCTGACTGTTTTTTTAATGAAAATCTTTAATCTGGACTTATTTTGGGGTTTAATGCATCTATTACCTGTTACAGGCGTAACACCGGCGCTGTTCATAAAACACCCGGTGACAGAACACCGCACAGGTCTGATTGCTAATGAAGAGAATTTAGAATTTAAAATCCTCCTTCTCACATATAAAGCCTTAAATGGCCAAGCTCCATCTTATATCAGAGATCTGATTGTTCCTGATGTTCCTAACAGAGCACTTCGCTCTCAATCTGCAGGTTTACTAGTGGTTCCTAGAATTTCTAAAAATAGAATGGGAGGCAGATCTTTTAGTTATCAGGCTCCTCTCCTGTGGAACCAACTACCAGTTTTAGTCCATGAGGCAGACACCCTGTCTACTTTTAAGGCTAGGCTTAAAACTTTCCTTTTTGATAAAGCTTATTTTTAGGGTGGCTCAGGTTATCCTGAGCTATCTCTATAGTTATGCTGCTATAGGCTTAGACTTCTGAAGGACATAGGGACCCCCATTTCATCATTCTGCTCCATTCTCTCTCTATTCTCCTATTCTGCAGAATCTGTTAGTTCAATCTCTAACGTTCTGCTCTCTCTGCTTTTCCTCAGAGTAGCTTCGCCTCGTCTGTTCCTGTTGTGACGCCATCCTGGAAAGAAACATCAGCTGTGCTGCTTTCATCAACACCCTTGTTTACAGATGCTGGAGATCTGCCTGTTTTCCAGTGTAGTCCTGTTTCTCTGACCGTGACTGAGTGGACGTGCTCTCTTCGTCCTCTGGCATGGGAACTGGCTCTGAGCTCATCTGCCTGGCTGTGTGTTTCCTGGAAGGGGCCGCCTTTTACATTCACTTTTTGTATCTCTGCTTCTGTCTCCTTGAACCCCAGTCGGCCTCAGCAGATGGCCGCTCACACTGAGCCTGGTTCTGCTGGAGGTTTCTTCCTGTTAAAAGGGAGTTTTTCCTCTCCACTGTCGCTACAAGCATGCTTAGTGTGAGGGATTGTATTTGAGTCAATGAGTCAATGCAATCAACTGGTTTTCCTTAGATAGAACACTTTGCATCAATTTGACTGTATGATCTGGTGAACTGTAAAGTGCCTTGAGATGACATGTGTTGTGAATTTGGCGCTATATAAATAAACTGAATTGAATTGAATTAATGAATCAGAAGTGGAAGCAAATCATCAAACCAACAATGTCGTCTCGTTACCTAAAAGTTAAACATAGGATTATTTACAGAATTACACACAGGCTGCCAAGACTTATAAATTCTCTCCTGATGTTGTGGTATTGAAGGATGTAATCAGTTTTGTTACACACCAATCATCTCGATATTACAAGAAAACGGCTTTCGTTATCTTTAGATAATTAGAAAATGAACTTGTTTTCTAGAGAACGCTGAGAAAAATGATTGAAGGGACATGACCGCTCTCGGCTTCCGTAGGTTTTTTTGTTGTTGTTGTCATGTATAAACAAGCAAATGCAACAGCTTACAATGACCTGATGTCCTAATTCTGATGTAGCTGTTAGTGAAATATATATCCTCCAGAACTTGACAACAATTTTCTAAAATAAATATTAAACCAAACTGCCTAAATTATCAGATTAAATGTTTGGGAATGTTAGAAAGGCCTACAGATTTCAAAAAGCTGCTTTTCTAACTTCTGGTAGCAGTTAGCTGTGCTGTAGGTCTAACATTATTCTACAGGCTGTTGTTTCTTTCTGCACTTCAGATCTAAAGCTAACAAACATTATTTAAGCATGTCTGTTTATAATAAAAGGCACTATTCGTTTCCTTTCTTGTGTATACTTAACTTACATCTAAATTAGGTTTCTAAAATCATCAGGTTTGCACCTCCCCTGACAACCATTGAGCCTCTAATTTCTGCCATAATGAGATATTGAAACTCTTTTTAAAAAAAGAAACAAAAAGGGCTCACATAATAAGACAGAATTGTGACCCATTTATTTAGTCTTTTAGCACATTTACAATCAGCAAACCCATAGGTCTCCATTATCATTTGCTCTACCTACACAGAATCTTCTCACCTACACATAATGACAACATCAGACAAAAAGTAGTACAAACAGATGAAGGCAGTGCTTCCCTCAGTACAGTCAGCAGTCAGTCTTGCGCACCAACACCTTTTTTTTTTACCTATGAGATAAATTAATAAACTGAGATTTTGTTTGATATTGCATATTTATGCTAAGGGTGAGATAACATGCAGTGCTGTTACCAAAAGCATACTTAATATTGTGTGTGTGTAGGGGGGGTGTATGTGTTCCTGTGTTATCAGTGGAGTATAGTGACAATCCGTTTCTCGCTCACAGCACCATCTGAGTACATCCGCTTTAAAAAGCAGCCATTGTGGGCAGCTGCACATGCAAAATGTGGTTGGATGGTGAAGTAAAACGATGTTTCCCCTGAGGTCGCTTTGTTGTCAGTGATTTTATGACCTGGAGTATAACTTTCTTTCTTCTCTCTACAGAAAAGGATGTTTTGAATAAGTCTGAGTCTGTTTATACTTGTGCATATCGTACACAACACTGTGCAAAGGTTACAGATATATAACACACTGCTTTGTATTTTGTGTGCTTTTTAAATCCAGCCTGGCAGGATAAAATTTTCTGGTACAGTATGTGCTTACAGTGTGGAGTGTATTGACTATGCTCTTTATCGGTAGTGACTTGACACTCTAGCACCATCTCTCTGTCTTTACTTCTTTATTTTCTCACTTTTTTTTTTAGAGTCTGTACTTTCTTAGGAGCTCAGATTGCCACATATACTTCCTCTCTGGGAAGCGGTCAGGAATCCTAATGCGCCGGAAGTCCTGAATGCATTTCTCCAGCTCCTGCTCTGGGGTCATCTTCTCCTTGTGCGCTTTCCTCTTGGCTGCATCTCGCTCCCGCACCCCGAAGGTTCTCACACGGAGCATGTCCGTCTTGCGGCGCATCTCTGCCTGCTGCTGCAGCATGAGGGCTGGGCCTTTGGGTACAGGTCGGTCCAGCGTCTGGATTTTGGACTGACGGCTCACGGGTCCACGGATCACGGTTCCCTGAGGGGAACTGGCCTCTGACTGGGTCTCGGAGCAGGAAGTGGAGAGGTCGTTGAAGGAGGTGCCGCTCTCGCCCTCACGCTCACTTTTGTGGCTCTTGCAGCAACAGTCACAGTGAGAGGATGACCACCGGGAGGGCCCACCTAAGATAAAATGCACAAAACATTTTCTCATTTAAATGCTGAAAAAAGTGTCTATGGAATACTTTTAATATGACTGCTGCATAGAGAAAGTATTCATGCCCATTAAAACATTTGTATTTTAAATGAGGTTGAAAATTAGGTTGTTTTTGTTTTCAAGTTAAAGAAACAAAAAATCTAAGAAAGAGAACCTATTAAGTATAGCCGCCTACCCAAACTGGCAGACCAAGCAAGGAATATATTAATCTAAAAGGATCTGGATTCTATGATAGTGAGAATGAAGGAAGCCATAAGAAGTTTCATTTGCAATTAGCCACGTTAGGTAGGGGTAAAAGCCAACCTGTGATTCACAAACAGCAGAATTCTTTCTTCTGACTCACAGTTCAGCCAAAGTTTTTCCCTTACATGACTGTAATTACTTCAATTAACCAGTAAGTTTTTTTTTTGGATTGGTTGATTCTTAAAGGATGAGAGATTGAGTGCAATATTTTACTTGACCCAGTTTTATTTTAGTTAATAAAAAGTCAAAATAAAGATCTTTATACTCCTTAATACAAGCACACATTTAGGTTGTCCCTACAGCAATCAAACAATTCCTGAAAATGCTTACCAGCTTTTTTTTCTTCCTCTGATTGTTTGACTTTTTCCTTTAAAGGGCTGCACTGTACATCCAAGATACTATGTGTGGTGGGGGACAAACCTCACACTAACTACACTGGTATCATGATGATACC